CCCATTTGTCAAGATTCTGTCGTTTGTAAATTTGTTTTATATGATGTAAACGTGTTTTTTCCTTGGTATAAGTGTTTTGGTTTTGTAATTTTGTTTTCTAAAAATGTAAAAATGTTTTTCAAAATGTAAATTTGTCTCACATTTGTAATTTTGTTTTGCACTCATCAGCCACCGTACAAATGAGATCCCTTCTTTTTAAAAGTAACTTTAGTCGTTGTTATCGTGTTTATACTGTTAATGCACATGTTGTACTATCTTGTAGTTTGTGTTGTTGAAATTATAAACTACATTCACAGCAGCATGTCAAAGTTATTAGTACTTTTCGTATTAGCTAACCTACTAGCTAGCATGCTAGCGAAACTTCTCTGTTCGCATACAGCGCCGAGGGGGCGGGAGACATGACCATGGTAACAGCAAGCTCAGCCAATCAGAGACGTGGCTGTGACACTCATGGGTCATGGGTTGTGAAGAGATATTAAAGATATCATAAAGAGATGTTTTCATACTGGGGTAGCTCGAGGTCAGTATACCTTGGATGGTTATTATATTACAGCCAAAAATCAAATCCACTGTAGGAGGGAATGAAAGAGATTTTTACTCACCTCACTGTTGAGCTCTGTGACCCCCCGAGTTATCAGATAGGATTTCATACGACTCTATTTTATAAAAAATATTACATCGCGGTAAAGAAAGAGGTCACTGAGGAGCGATATTTAGAGTCTTTACACTGTCTCTACAGTAACATCTGTGATATCAACAGATTCTTTGTAAACTGTCAATTCATATGATGTCAATGTGTCGCGCTAGCATCAAAAATGAATCCACTACTTCTGCCACAAAAACAATATTTTGAACGTCAGGTGAGACAAATGATAATGCAGTGTAAGAAGAATTAAAGTGAAGTCAGACCAGAGAAGAACTATTACAGTCTCATTTTAAAGTCACGCTGACAAGTGTGGTGGAATCTAATTCACATTTATTGTTTGTTTACAGTTTATCATTAATGCCAGTAGATTTTTAATTAAATAAGATCACTTTAGACAATAAAAGCCTTTACAACATTAACTATAGCAAGTTAATAAGTAAAATAATGCTGCTGGAAATGTTTCAAATGTCTGAAAGGTGTGTATATAACAAAGTTTAAATTATTTTTAAGCTATGAGGAAATATTACAGTGATTACTTATCTTCCATTTTCAGGGTGTAAAACAAAGCATAGTTGTTCAAAGTTTTTATGGGTCATTTGTGTGATGGAGGGTAAGTTTGGGCCGTGGTAGGAGCCCAATGTGATATCTTTTCATGGGGCCTGGAGCAACTGGCGGGGCCCCTGGTCAGTAGACACTCAGGTTACCCAAAGATATGTTCAGAAACACTGTAGAAGTGGATTTTTCAGAATATGTCCCCTTTAAATGTTTTGACTTTTAACCTCATGATTTCGATTTATGAGCAAAAAAAGATTCTCAACGAAGTCAAGTCTTCATTTTTATTTTTTTAACTGGTGGAAATGGGCTTCCATAGTTTGCAATGAAGACCAGAAGAAAACATTTAGTTCATGTGAGTTTATTCAGGATGTCAAACTTCAGTTTGTTCACACATCAAATCAGTAAAGTGTGTTCAATCATTTCATGAACACATTCACTTCATCCACACAATCACTTTGTTTGATCAGAATCTCCACTCACAGAAAACAATGATTTATCTCCTTATTGATTTAATCAGGAGGATTACATTTTTAAAACACCTCAGAGGACATTTTTACATCACTTTGAATATGAACAACAACATTTATTCTGACTAACTCATTTCTTTAAGTGTGATTTTATAGATTTTCTACAAATGTACAAAGTGGTGAGAAGAGAAAATCAGCATGAAAGAAAAGTTTTCTGCTCTCTCTCTCTCTTCAGACTCCTGAATCAGAACAGAAATAACAGAAAATATAAATGTATGAAAACAAATAATCAAACATGGAGAGCAGAGAGAAGTTGTTATTTATCACTCAGAGAAATGTCAGTTCAGGTGAACAAAAGTCATCCTGAGCAGTGAAAGAGTCCACGGCTAAACAGACACAGGAAGGAGTGTCACTTAAAGACACTCAAACATTTACAGAACAGATGAGAAGAGGTCAAAGTACCGCCCATAAAGTTTGATTGACAGGTGACCACGATCAGATCTCAGCAACGAGCGTGGATAAAAATCAAGTTGAAGATTTAAAACACAGCAAGTTAAACATCTGTCTCATTAATGACTTCTGTCTATTTCAGTTTACACAACTCAGCAGAGTCTTCAAAATAATAAAACCTGAGTCCAGCATGTAGAGGCTGAGTGAATGTGGTCTGGACTCTGTGGAGGAGAGTCATGGTTTCAGAGATGCTGTAGAAGGACAGAATACCTGCTCTGTGATCCAGGTACACTCCTACTCTGGAGGACTCAGGACCTGAGACAGGAGTGCTGACATCGTTGTAATAAAAGTAATATCTGTTGTTGTCACAAAATAACATCCAAGATTTGTCATTACGTCCAAATCTACACTCATTCAATCTCCCTGCTCTGCTGATATTCTTGTATGTGACTGCTACATCAACTCCTCCTATTTCTCTCTTCTCCACTTCCCAGTAACAACGTCCAGTCAGACTCTCTTTACTCAGGACCTGAAGACATCCAGTGAATCTGTCTGGGTGACTAGAATAAGGGTGGGTCTGAATCGTTACTGTTACTTTTCTGTTCCCATCAGATAATAACAGCTTTGTGTTTGCTGTGTTTGGATCCAGTGTGATGTCACATGAATATTTTAAGAACTCAGCTCTGGTCTTGGGCTCTGGTTCTGGTTCTGACAGTAAAACATCCACTTCAGTCCCTGTCTGTGAGATGTTTGTCCATTTCTCTCTCAGGACGTCCTGTAGTTTATCTCTGACTTCTGACACAGCCTCTGTCACGTCCTCAAAGTACCTCAGAGGACGGATCTTGATGCTGGATGAGTGTGTAGATTCACTGAGTGGTGACAGTGAGGGGTAGTCGTGTAGAAACTGGTTGTGGTCCTGTGTGTGTGACAGCTTCTTCATCTCAGCGTCTCTCCTCTTCAGCTCAGTGATCTCCTGCTCCAGCTTCTCCTGAAGCTCTCTGACTCGACTCACTTCAGTTTGCTGCTGGGATCTGACCTGCTGCTTCACATCAGAGCGTCTTTTCTCCATGAGACGGATCAGCTCAGTGAACATCTTCTCACTGTTCCCCACTGTTTTATCAGCGGAGCCATTGATAGCCTCCACCTCCTGTTGGAGCAGCTTCACATCTTTCTCTCTGTCCTGGATTCTCTGCTGGATGTTTTGTCGACTCACCTCCAGCTCTCTCTGCTTCTCGCTCCTTTCTGCTGCAGCTGAGACTGTGTCATGACCTTTGTGTTCGTCCACAGAGCAGAGATAACAGATAGACTGCTGATCAGTGAGACAGAACATCTTCATCACCTCATCATGACGAGAGCAGACGTTCTCCTGGAGCTTCTTGGAGGGCTCCACCAGATTGTGTTTTGTATAGGCAGGTATTTCATAATGAGGCTGGAGGTGTTTCTCACAAAATGAGATCAAACAGAAGAGACAGGACTTACAGGCTTTCAGTTTTCTCCCGGTGCAGACATCACAGGCCACATCTTCAGATCCAGCATAGCAGTGATCAGCAGGAGCAGCTTGGAGTCCAGTCTTCTTCAGCTCCTCCACTAAATCTGCCAACATGGTGTTTTTCCTCAGGTCAGGCCTCGCTGTGAAGGTCTGTCTACACTGAGGGCAGCTGTAGACTGTCTTCTCATCCTCTGTATCCCAGTGGCTTTTAATACACTTCATGCAGTAGCTGTGTCCACAGGTAAGAGTCCCCGGATCCTTCAGGAGATCCAGACAGATCGAACAAGAGAAGGTTTCCCGGTCCAGCTGAACTCCTTTCTGCGCCATTTCTCCTCTCGGTAACAACGACTGTCTGAGATTCACTTCCTCATAACTGAAAACAAGTTTCACCTCTTATCTACAAAGCATGTGACTGTGCAGGTACTTTTGATTACACCCATCCTCAAACTGAAGATCTAAAGGGGAGGGAACCAGGAAGTATGAGGACAGAGTGCAGCAGGCTGTGTTTGAGAGCAGGAAGAAGAGGGAGGGCTGATCAAACTACGATTCATTCCAGGAAGAGGAGCGGTTTGAGAGAGATACTTGTTTACAACAGAGAACATTTCTCTTTTAAAAACACTTCTCCTTTCAGATTTTAGAAAAGGTGTCACACTCACTTTATTTCAAAATAAAAGCAGGGTTGAATATAAACATCAAGTAAAGTCTACTCTCAGTATAAGGAGGTACAAAACTAATAAATATTGTAGAATGATCGAGGGTCGAGTTACTTTTACCACGTATTCTGAACTAGAGGACCTTAGTGGGAGTGGCCTGCGGTGCTGTGCATTCTGGGAGTTGGTGTCTTTCATCCACATGAGCCAAAAAGACACTTTCTGCTTTTCACGGTCAAGAAGGCTCCAACTTCAAAATGTATTTTACATTTCTACATATATGACCCAATGTCAATACAGACTCATGTTTTAACGGGTGAAGTATCCCTTTAATGAGTTTGGGAAAATCTTCAGTTTTTGACAAACTTTAAAAGATTGCTTGTATAAAGATTTTCATATTTTTGAGAGCCTTAAGATGTCAGAATGACCAAACTTTAATCACTATGTCAAATTAACTTTCATTTCTTATTGTTGCTTCCATATATTTGATTGGATGTGTGTGTTTAATGATGTCGGTCTTGGACATCTGTACAGAACGTTGAGCAGGGCGTGGAAGAAGTCCTGCCACATGTCGCTGTGGGGGTTTCTGACGGGCAGAAAAGAACACAGAAGGAAGATCTTAGATGATGTAAGAGATTGAGATCCACTGGCCGGCTTTTTGGAAGCTTTCTGGGGGAGAACTAATGAGCTTCCGGGTGGGCGTGTCCTTGAATGAGCTGCCTGGATGGGCGGGTCCTACAACTTTACTCCATGTACGGCTCTAATGCTGCGTTCATGTGCTGTCGGACAAATCGGAAAAATGAGTTCCCGAGTTGTAAAACGCACATGAACACCTGCTCAAGTCAGAACAACAACTCGGAAACTCGGAAAAGAATGAGGTGCATCTCGTGTTTATAAAAAAACGTAACTTTAGTATGAACATCGTAACATTATGTCTGCATTGTATGATTTGAAATATAGATCAGCATTGTAGATGTCTTTTAAAAATGTTCAGTCTGTAATAATCGTGTCTTTGTTCAATCACATAAAAATATAATCTGCAGAATAAAGAAACATCTATTCAACATTCAACAGAGTGACGATCTAACCAACTTTGCAACGATCACCAGGAGTTACCCCAAGTAAGAGCTTTGGTCTGGGCAGAAATAGTTTCAGAAATAGTTATGTTTCTTTTATAACCACTGATAATTATGCATCATTGTTGACTGAACGTCACATTCTGTTTATTATCTGTTATAAGCTGCTGCATTTGTTTTATTGTAATGAACAGCTGTGTTCACCTATGTGTGTAATGCTATGCTACTTTACCTTCAGTCAACGGCTTTCACAATCAGAAAGACCAGTGTACCCGCCGTTGAATCAAAGTCCGGCCACTGGCTTTCTGGTGTTTAAGTAACAGTTACTGAACTCAGCTCAGAGAGCTCAAACTATTTCAAAAGGCAGCCACATGGCTTCCTTTGTTGTCCACCATCTTGTTTTCTCTCTCTCTCTCTCTCATCCACACACACACACACACACACACACACACACACACACACACACACACACACACACACACACACAACTACACATTTACACCTCATCCACAAGCCTTTGCTTGATAATGTTTGTTGCTTAGATTAGTTTGTAATAGTTATTTGTTTAATTAAGTTCAGTGATTTTGGATTGATGTTGCTTTGTTTAAATAAATTCTGTTATAATTTAAGAGAGCAGTTGTTTGTGATTACTGGTGTATTTACATTGTGATATAAGCTGGGTGCGAAGGCTTTGTGTACGTATTTCACACCTTTAATTGATTAAATATAGTTATTCATATTTAATAATATTAGTCATTAAGTAACTAATTTGAGACTGATTTTAGTGGTATTTTGGTTATTTTTCAGTGATTTCAGGGTGGTGCCCCCGAGTTGATTAAACATAGTTTAATGATATTTTATTTATATTAATAATAATTAAATATAATTATTGAAGAATATAACCAAAGTTGACTTGATAAAACCCCAACATGTACTTGGCAATAAAACCTGAATCTGATTCTGATGATTAAACATGTCAGTGATTTGAAGATGATTTATAGCTGAAACTCTGAACTGTCTGGACTGGGTTAGGCATGCCGGGTAAAACCACACCATGGGACGAAGCCAAGCTTAAGAGGAGAAGTCTTTGTGACACTGAAAGTGTTGGCTTTGGGCTCAAGGTGATTCGATCGTACAGGATTAGAGATATGACTCAACCAAAACCAGAGTAAATCAGTAGAGTAAATACATTTACTAATTAACTACTTAATTGGCTTAAACAAAGGAAACTTACAGAACATGTTAAGCACACAGTCAAAACTGTCAGGATTGATGGGCATTCACATGCAGTCAGCCAGCAGAGTTTGCAGCAGGCGAGCTGGCTGCCTTTATCAGCTCTGAAGCCCTGCCCATGCAGGTAACAGATTCAGGAGAGTCAGAGAAGGAGGGGGGATTCCCCACAAAACCAGGTAGAGAAGGAGAGGGATTTTCTACAATATGTGAACAGCCAAAGTCAGGAGAATCTCCAGAGCAGTCCTCCGTTTTTATCTAGATCAGGGGTGGGCAACTGGCGGCCAACATCAACCTTAAACGTGGCCCTCAGGTTAATTTTTTACACATTATAATTTATACAATTATTTGAAAACATGAAGGAAACATGATGAAATCTGCCATAAAATCATGAAAACCAGAAATATGTCCATAATCATATTTGATCACTGGTATATGTTGTGTTAATTTGAGACATAATCGACTGTAATCATTTTTGTATTCTACAATTTGGCCCCCTGGCAGTGAGAATTAAATGAATGTGGCCCTTACTGTGACCAAAGTTGTCCATCCCTGCTGTAGATATTATCAGGATTTATTGAAACACACCTCAGTTAGGACACTTTTAAATGTTGAAATGTTTGCTGCAACTCGCCTCACTGACCAAAAACCATCGTCTGTAAATATGCCAAAAACACGTTGTTTCACTGGTTTTGACCGGGGGCTCTACTGCTGATGTAGATACTCACACATTAACCGAATGACTTCCCCTTCAGTTCTCAGAAACACTCAAAGTGAGGTGTCAACACATCTCAGACCCCTAAAACAACGTCTGAACTCTCAAACACGACGGACACTCAAAGTTGTATTCAGGAGGTCGAGGAGTTTGACCCTCCATGTTTTGTTCACTTTTTGCTCTCAGGGATCATTAAACCTGACTGTTTTTTTATTTAAACACCATCTCAAGCGGTGGTTCTCAACTGGTGGGTCGGGACCCAGAGGTGGGTCGCGGAGCCATTTTTATGTGTGCCTGGTAAAAACTTGTGATGCACTTCTTAAACATGTTTGTTTTGTTCAGTTTCTTGATCCCCCCCCCCCCCTCCTCTCTAGAGTGGATGCTCACTCAGGTCACCATGTGGTGGACACTGAAGCTTCAGTGTTTATCCAGCTCTGCATGGGTCTGTCGGTCACACACACACACACACACACACATACCTTCTCATCTTTAATAATATTCTTCATCGTCTTGTTCTCCTTCCTTTTCAACACTTCCAGAATCAGCTGCTTCTTACTGGTCGTACCAAACAAAAGTGGCTCCCACAGGTTTACATCTTCCAGGTCATACACCATATTCTACACACACACACACACACACACACATTAGAAGAAAGCAGAGATGGATTATATTCTAGCAGTGCATTATGGGTAAGTTGTTGGAGACTCACAGTGCAGCCGTTTCTGCAGTCCTGCATGATGGCGTAGTAGTTGAGGTTGTTCCACACGCTGTCGATGCCCAGGAAGTGGTCGTGGTCAGTAGGGTATCTGTTTCCTGTCAGAGGGTCGATGAAGAAGTTTTCCTGTACGCTGTGGCTCCCTGAGAGCACGAGCACCCAGCAGTGTCTGCGCAGGCCCCGCAGGGGGTCAGGGGGTCGCTGCTCACTCTGCTGCTCACACACACACAGACCAGGTATGAACTCTCCCTTAAACCTTTGCTTACTCTTCTAATCTTTATTATAACGCTCTCATGGTCTCATCAATGATTTCACAGAAGAAGAATCACTGTACCTCCAGAACTTTCTGTTTCTGAAGCAGCGCAGCTTTAGCGTCATGTTTCTTCTTCTCTTGCTGCATCAAAAAAAGACTCTTCAGCTCCCTCTGTGGTTTGGGTGTGTATTTGTTGTCCTGTGGCTCCTGCTCTGACGTCACACTCTGCACAACATGACACACTTTGAAAGATTCTGTAAGTCGCACTGTGGGCTGTGGATGTTAGTTTATATGGACCAGAGCAGTGCCTACCTCCACCTGTTTGTCCAGCAGGGGGCACTCCTGCAGACTCTGGTCCTGCAGACACATCTCTCTGACAGCGTAGCCGCTGACACAGTAGGCATCGTAGTGGGCGCCGAGCAGCAGGCTGCACAGCAGGGAGGCAAACTCAAAACATGTGGCTCTCTGACTCTGCAGCACCGAGGTGGAGGAGAAGAGAGTCCTGGGCTGGGACACAAGATATCATTTAATAACCCTTTTAATAATAATAATACACACAACATGTCCAAGAGTCTCTACATGTCTCCAAAAGTACAACAGCTATCTTCAGTTCTGTTTGAATCCAGAGCAGTTTGAAGAGAAGCAGCGGGGATCCATTAAAAACCTAAACTTATGTTTGTGTCTCTACAGACAGACAGGAGCAGAGGAGCTGACACTTCACAACAATGACAACATTAAGTCACGCCTACATTTCACTGTGTGCAGGAGTTTGCAGTATTGGATGCCTCAGACTTTTATTTCTGTTGTTCTGTTATTGATATGTAGCAGCCATTTTCTGGTTATTTGTTGTTTTGCATTTGTTTTTGTTGTTTGTGAACAGCAGGGGGCAGTGGGCACCTTGCCGAGCACATGGGTTGATTAGGAACCCTTTAAATGTTCCAGGTGTGTCACTGTTGGATGATGCACCAGGAAGGGACACATGTCAACGAGACAGGTCAATGGGATGCAGGTGATATTGATCTGGGAAGACTACATTTCTAAATCATTTTTAACTGTGTTTTTATTCACAGGTTATTGATCTTATTTACTCTCCATGTATCTTGATTTAAGAATGGGGCTGTGTTTAAGGGCATATTTTGCAATGACTCTGTTCCATCCCACTTTCAGAAATGAACTACATTAGTATTTATCAAAAGAATAAGAAGTTGTGTAAAAGTAGACTTCCTTCCCTTAGCTATTGAGTTGAGCATTAATGCACATTTTAGTCTTGTCATTTCAAATCTGAAACGTATACTCATAAGTAGACATTATTAATAATATTAATATTAATATTATTGTTATTACTACTACTACTAATAATAATAATAATATTATTATTATTATTATTATTATTATTAATATTAATAATAATAAAGACTCACCTTGTCTCACATTAATTTACCCGCCGTGTTGGCAGGATTTTGACTTTCCTGTTGACTTTAGTGAAACAGAGTGAAACTGTGAAGTTTGAGTGTCTCGCGTGTCCATGGTAACAGCAGGCAAGACGTGGTGACGTCATGCCGTGTTGCTTTCATGGGCTGTAGGAAACAATAGAACTAATGAACGGAACCACAAGAAAGACGATAAAAACGTCCAGTTAAATAAAATAAATCCTTTACTCATACTAAAATACAACAAGACATACTCCTCTATAAGTAAAGGCAAAGAATGGAAAAGCTTTCTTTTCTAAAGAGTGTTTTTTATTTGTGTTTTAGCAGGTTGGGCTTCTTCTTTTACTTCACACAGAGAGGTTAGTGATCAGTTTCATATTTACAGTAATAATAAAGGCTCAATATAATAATGCTTTTATATTTATATATTCAGTCTTAATTCATTACTAAGTGTTGTATAAATGAAAGATGTAACAATTCAAACAACCAAAACAGAACATTTGAAATCAAGTTGATTAAAGTCAATAAAAGACAAAACAAAGTCTGAAGTGTCTCTGAAGGCAACTTCCTAACTGTCCATTAAACAGCTCTGCAGTCTTTTATCTGCTTCCTAAACTGTCCAGTTGTGTCGTTGTTAAAGAATCAAAGAATATTAAATCATTTCTCACCTTCTCTTCACACTGTTTCCTGTGCTGCTGTCATTTGAATTTATCCTCAACGAGGTACATTTCAATTTGATTTTACATTTACATTTTCTTCTGAGAGTCATTTGGTTATTTCTGCATGAAATCTCTAAAAGGTCAAACATGACTGACCTGATGTAAGATGTGTTCCATTGCACTCCACAATGCTGGAGGTCCAAGCTGAGGGTTTTTACTGACTCCGGTATTTAAGACCAATCAGATAATTTAAAGCTGCTCTGAAGGTTTCAGAGACTGATGACATGAGAGGTGAACATGAGGTCAAAGGTCAACATGAGGACCGAGATGGAGCTTTAAACATGTTGTAACTGTTAAGTGAAAAATGTGTGCTACGCTTTCCTCGACCGACTGGAAGTAAGTTTATATCAGCGCAGTGACAAATCAAAGCTTTAAATAAATACAGAAACTGATTTTTATATTGAAAATGGTTAAAAGGACTAAATAATCAACAAACAGCTGGATCTTATCAACGCTCTATCTCACTTCACAAAAAGAGAAAAACAAACAAAGTCTTTTCAACATTCGGGCGTTTCCTTCTTCTCCTCGCTCTCCTCCTTCTGGAAGACGTTTCCACCCGGCTGCCTCCTCCAGCTCAGTCGGATGTTTTCATGCAGCCCCTCGTCCCTCAGCTTCTGTCGGAGCTGACAAACACAAATCAAAATATTCTCCATCATACGTCTGTTCTTCTTCTCTGGACACGCCCCCAACCACCTTAAAGGGATACTTCAGCCGTTAAAACATGAATCTGCCTCTGCTGCAGCTGATGCATAACACCCGCCTGTCGGCACGCCACCGCCGCCACCGCAGCCGCCGCTATATAACGGCTCGTTGAGATAACCACAAAAAACCGATTCGAGCACAAGACCTTCAAAATCCCCTTCATCCATCTCAGTTTAAAGTTGAAACATCGTCAGCTTTCTCCAAAGAGCCTGTTAGCATAGCTACCAAGCAATATGGCGGTGTGAGGTCCCACCCACTGATCTGTGATTGGTCTGCAGCTTCAGTTGTTGAAAACATGAGGAACTAGCGTTGTAGCTTCACCCCGCTAACCGCAACAGCTTCCAGTGACGCAAAATGACGATTTTTGCTTCATCAGAAGCTCCTTTCAGACTCAGAAATACAAAGATTTCACATCTCAGGGGAAAATGAGGGCGGGATGCACGAGCATTCAGAAACACTACCAGGTTTCTAATGAAACAAAGATTAATGCTAATGGGTGAAGTGTCCCTTTAATTGTTTTTCTCGTTAGTAAACAGTTCATTCAGTTATTTTTTTAACATCTTTCTGTTGCATTTGGTGGAACATGACTTTCTGCTTGAGATGGATCTTCTCTCTGTAGAGGTTTGGACATGTAGCTCACTCCCTGCTCTGATAGGGTCAGCCGTTTCTATGACAACCAAGGTCACTTTGTGTCTCCTTCATGTCTGGATCGTTTGGCCGACTGTCTCCATTATCTGAGACGTTACGTTCTGGTACATTCACTGTATCACATGTGTTGTTAAGTCAGATATAAACTACTTCCTCCCTCTGACTCTCCTGAGTCTTTGTCGTGTGGAGTTGAGTATCTACACATTCCCTCAACACCACTGAGAACACCAGCTTTGGAGAGAAACAGGAAGTATGTGCAACTATTAGAATGAATACAAAATCTCCATTAGGACCTCAAACCCATACTTCCTCCAACCACAGGAAGTTCAACCCTGAAAACTGCTGGAGGAGGAGTCAACAAACCATCAGAATATAAGTATCAGAGTTTATTGAGTCATTGTTTTCTGTCTCCATGATTTCAAATGGCTCTGAATCTGTTTCCTGTCTCTTAACATGACTTCCTGTGCTACTGTCATTTGAATATATCTTTCAGGGATCACTAAAGCCTCATGTTGTCTCATTTCAATTTTCTTCTGAGAGTCATTTGGTTATTTCTGCATGAAATCATAAAAAGGTCAAACATGATTCACCTGCTGCAGGATGTGTTCCATCACAGCAGAGTGGTTCAGATCCACAGAGGGGTTCTTCTTCTTCTGCACACTCACTCTGATCACCTGTTGAGTGATCCCTGAGAGGAAGACAGAAACATGTGTTCACATCAGTTTGGGTTTCCTTCAAAAGTAACATCCTCTGAGCACTGAGTCCACAACTTGCGGTCAATTATGGCTTAAATCCATCGCTTAAAACACAAACATCTGAATAATCAGATTGATTCAACTCACCTGCAGTGTAGCAGATGTATGATCTCTTATAGCCACAGGGCCAGTCCTCCCATTTCCCAAAGTTGCCAAAGTCTGCGGACACACAAGCCTCCTTTGAAAAGAGGTTATTAGGATCTGAGAAGCCCAGGTTCCAGTACCTAAACGAGGAGTTACTGCCATCCAACCACTTCCAGGTCTCTCTGGAGAGGCCGATCCAGACTGACTGTAGAAAAGGGATCAGCTCCTTTATCTTCTGGTTCTCGTCCAGGTTTCTCACACTGGCCAGGTCTGTGTGGTGTTCTCTGCAGTAGCTCTGGGCCTCAGTCCATGACATGTCGGTGGAGATGAGGACAAAGGTCACATTCGACCCTGAAGAGAGACCACAGCTCATAATCAAACATCACCATGTTAAAATGTCCAACTTTACAGCTGCAGTTCCTCCAGTGTCCACTAGAGTCTGTCTCCTGCAGTGAGTCAGTCCCCATAGAGCTCTATGTTAAAATGTCCAACTTTACAGCTGCAGTTCCTCCAGTGTCCACTAGAGTCTGTCTGAGAGTTTGTTAAAGTGAAATGAGACATTCAAAGATGCAGCAGTGTCCTTCTTTAACATCACTGAGACTACAGGGAGACACTGAGGACAACCTTTAAGAAGCTGAAAATAAATAAAGCCGATGTGTTTCTAAACTTATTTATCATTTATGAATGTCTCACCTGTGGCGTCGCAGCAGACTGACTTAAGGTTATCCATGCAATGCACATCGTTCCATAACCCGTCAAAATACATGGTTGTGCAGTGTTCTCTACTTCCTATGTTGTCAGGCATTCCTCCTGCCCACTGTCTGAACTCGGCCTCTCCATCGTCGTAGAAACTCGGGTCTGACAGTGACCAGCTCCAGCTGTCCACGTCGTCGTACAGACCAATCCAGGCTCGCTGAAAGCAACATGAGATTCATTTGACTTTGTTTGCAGCATCATGCTGTGATATATATACAGTATGTTCAAGTCTCAGAGACCTGTGGTTCTCAACTGGTCTCTCCTCAGGACCCACTCTCAACACTTTAAAGGTCAAACATTCTCCTCCTTTTTCAAAAAAGTGTAAATAAGTCTCAGAGCTCCTCAAAACATGTGTGTGAAGTTTCTTCTTCTAAATCCACTCTTAGAAGGACTTGGGGGTACCCGGTCTTTCTCGCTCCATGTCCTATTGTTTACGGTGAGAAGGCAGACTCAGAGGGCAGAACAAACACCTAGCTGTGGGAGTGTCACCCACCTGGGGGAGGAGCTACTGCCCTTTGTGATGTCATGATGGCAGACTCAGAGGGCAGAACAAACACCTAGCTGTGGGAGTGTCACAGTGTCAGTTGAGAACCACAAGGTCACAAAGCTGCTCTCATTGGTTCTGCTTAAGTGTACTCAGGCCCTAAATGGAAACACTCACATAAAGTATAAGTTCTGGGTTAGGTTGGAAACCTTATCTGCTCACTCTGCACCACTGAAAGTCAAATGTGACACAAAGGTTTGGTGACCTATAGTGACCTTACATTGCCGTCGACAATCTGCCACATTTGGCTTAGATCGGCCATGCCACTCAGGGTGTCCACGTCCTCCATGCTGGTTATGGTGGCCAGGTCTGTGTGTTTGTCTCTGCAGAAGGCCCGGGCTTCATCTTGGGTCTTGTGGTCATAATTAAAAAAGTACCGTCGTTTCACTTGTGGTGACTCTGCACACAGTCCTGTAAAGACGTACACATGGATCAGTTAAAGGTTAAACGACGAGATGGTCTCATGTTTCTTAATAATTTTATTGAGTTAGAGGTGTCTGAGTGTTAAACTCTAGTTATTATCATATCGTCCTCTTTCTCTCACTGTGGGTCAGCTGTATCTCTGTCTCAACATTTTCAGTTTTTTTAATTTTCTAACTTTTTCTAAATTGACTCACTTCAAACATTTCCTTTTTTAAAATACTTTTTCAAATGTAGGGTTGTCATGAAAAATAACGATCTCCTCCAGGAATGATTGATAACTGTGGGTCCTAATGATGAGTCTCTGCTCCTGCAGCCAGTCCTAGTGGACACTCATGGAACTGCAGATTTTTGCTCTTCCACGGTATCTTCATTTCTTTTAAGACCTGAGCCGCTTGGTCAAATACGATCAAATAATGTTTCCTGGGGTTTTCTTGCCGGTAGTTTGTGGCCAACTTAAAAGTTGAAGACAAACATCCATGAAGGTTTGTGATGAAGTTTAAAATGTTTTACTTTCTTATATTGAAAACTTTGAAAGAATGAAGTTTCCTGTCTAAATTGCCGACTGCCTTTTGGGACAGTCAGGGTAAAGTAGAGAGGGGTTAGAAAGTTAAAGAATCATCTCCTGACTCTCTCCTCCATCTTTCTTTTTCAACCTTTTTAACTCTCCGTCTGTGAAATCTTCACTGAGCGTCTTCATCCGGCTTTTTAACCTTGAACATGACGCCTTCATGAGTCTGCAGAGCAGCGATCGTTCACCTGAGGTTCATAAAGCACTAGAAGAGATCCACTCAAGAACACTGAAGAACGGACGTCAACATGTTTAACATGTTAATAAATAATATAAATAAAGACTGACTGTATGCTCTGTGATGAACAGACATGTTAATAATATAAATAAAGACTGACTGTATGCTCTGTGATGAACAGACATGTTAACAATATAAATAAAGACTGACTGTATGCTCTGTGATGAACAGACATGTTAACAATATAAATAAAGATGTACACTGACTGTATGCACCGTGTTTATTAATCAAACTTCATAAATGAAGACTTGCCTGAAGCAGCGACGGTGAAGAGCAGAAGAAGAAGAGCGTCCATCTTCAGACTGGTGTCTTCTGTTTGAGACGTCGTCGGGATCTTTTCCCCTGATGGTGATTTGAATATTTACATATCAGGGAAATGATTTGATAATCTGATGTCATGTTTCTGGGCAGCAGCCGCACACAGTCGGGTAACGTGACATTAATAAATGAACTGTGGAGATTTTTATTTGACATGACGCCTTCATGAGTCTGCAGAGCAGCGATCGTTCACCTGAGGTTCATAAAGCGCTAGAAGAGATCCACTCAAGAACACTGAAGAACGGACGTCAACATGTTTAACATGTTAATAAATAATATAAATAAAGACTGACTGTATGCTCTGTGATGAACAGACATGTTAATAATATAAATAAAATATTTACATATCAGGGAAATGATTTGATAATCTGATGTCATGTTTCTGGGCAGCAGCCGCACACAGTCGGGTAACGTGACATTAATAAATGAAACTGTGGAGATTGTATATTTAGAATCTACTACAAACACAGGTTTGACTTTAAAGATTTTAAACACTCACAAAAACTTCAATCCATCAGTCCTCACTCTTGAAACTCCTCCCCTTTCAGGGCGCGGTCACACTGGCCATCCGTACCGTGCCCAAGCACGCTTCAACCCCTACAGTCCACAACGCTGACAGCCTTCATTATGAAGTGTTCAGTCTGTATCTGACTAACACGACTCAAAGTAAAGACAGGAAGTAGCTGTCATGTTCTCCGATGTGCAGACGCCGGTCCCCTAATGGGGAGGAAGGGGGGGCAATCGTGCTTAACCACGGTACGACAACATCGCCAGTGTGGCCGCGCCCTAAATGAGTCTGAAGCGCCCTGTGGGATAAAGTCTGAGACGTTTCTTATTTCAGAGACTCAAAGTGACCGGATCAGATTCATGTGTAGTCTGTGGATCTGTTGGAAAGAAACCCATGAAGAAGAAACACTCGTTCACCTGAGGTTCTGATCCTCCTGTAGTCTTCATGAGTCTCAGGAACTCTCTGAGGAGACTTCACCGTCGCAGCTTCGACTCGTTTGGTGCGTTCCAATGTTTTGTGTTCAAGGTCGTACGCACATCCTTCACTTCCTCCTGTGGAAAATGAGCTGCACATCCAAACGCAGCGTTCAGCCTGACTGAGAGCTGAGGTCGTTTTTATTTCTGTTTTAACTGAAAGACAGAGCAGCGGACTGGAAGGGGCTGCAGCTGACTGGAAGGGGCTGCAGCTGACTGGAAGGGGCTGCAGCTGACTGGAAGAGGCTGCAGCTGACTGGAAGAGGCTGCAGCAGACTGGAAGGGGCTGCAGCTGACTGGAAGAGGCTGCAGCTCACTGGAAGAGGCTGCAGCTGACTGGAAGGGGCTGCAGCAGACTGGAAGGGGCTGCAGCAGACTGGAAGAGGCTGCAGCAGACTGGAAGGGGCTGCAGCAGACTGGAAGGGCCTGCAGCAGACTGGAAGGGTCTGCAGCAGACTGGAAGAGGCTGCAGCTGACTGGAAGAGGCTGCAGCAGACTGGAAGGGTCTGCAGCAGACTGGAAGAGGCTGCAGCGGACTGGAAGGGGCTGCAGCTGACTGGAAGAGGCTGCAGCAGACTGGAAGAGGCTGCAGCGGACTGGAAGGGGCTGCAGCGGACTGGAAGGGGCTGCAGCTGACTGGAAGAGGCTGCAGCAGACTGGAAGAGGCTGCAGCAGACTGGAAGAGGCTGCAGCTGACTGGAAGAGGCTGCAGCGGACTGGAAGGGGATGAACGGACTGGAAGGGCCTGCAGCAGACTGGAAGGGGATGAGCGGACTGGAAGGGGCTGCAGCTGACTGGAAGAGGCTGCAGCAGACTGGAAGAGGCTGCAGCTGACTGGAAGAGGCTGCAGCTGACTGGAAGAGGCTGCAGCGGACTGGAAGGGGATGAGCGGACTGGAAGGGGCTGCAGAGGACTGGAAGGGCTGCAGAGGACTGGAAGGGGCTGCAGCGGACTGGAAGGGGATGAGCAGACTGGAAGGGGCTGCAGCGGACTGGAAGGAGATGAGCGGACTGGAAGGGGCTGCAGAGGACTGGAAGGGGCTGCAGCGGACTGGAAGAGGCTGCAGCAGACTGGAAGGGGCTGCAGCGGACTGGAAGGAGATGAGCGGACTGGAAGGGGCTGCAGAGGACTGGAAGGGGCTGCAGCGGACTGGAAGAGGCTGCAGCAGACTGGAAGAGGCTGCAGCTGACTGGAAGAGGCTGCAGCGGACTGGATGGGGATGAGCGGACTAGAAGAGGCTGCAGCAGACTGGAAGGGGATGCGCGGACTGGATGGGGATGAGCGGACTGGAAGGGGCTGCAGCTGACTGGAGGGGGCTGCAGAGGACTGGAAGGGGCTGCAGCGGACTGGAAGGGGCTGCAGAGGACTGGAAGGGGCTGCAGAGGACTGGAAGAGGCTGCAGCGGACTGGAAGGGGCTGCAGAGGTCTGGAAGAGGCTGCAGCTGACATTATTTATTCCATATTCCAGAAACACATGGATGGAATGGATCAGGTGGATAAATGCTTATTCTCCCCTTCCTTATGAAACAAGATGAATCTAAAGAGACAGTCTTCTTGTACTTACAGTTATTTATTGTATTCCTTTATTTAACACAGACACATGAACATGGCTTCATCTGTCAAATGATTACATGCAGGTTTGTAGCCGTGGCGATGTTGTAGTCCCTGCTCGGCTTTTAGGATTTGAACAGAATGATTAGACTTAAAGAGAAAGAGTTAAACTTTACAAATACAGAAACATGATCACGTCGTTACAGTTAAGAGACTGAACGAGACCAAACAGGAAGTCGTTTTAGAGTACCACTGGTGAAAAGAAAACTTACAAAAACTCTTTTATTCCCACTGCAATACACATTTTAAACGAGGCTAGATAAGCAATGTTTTTTAAATACTGTGCATGTGTTTTTACCTATTTAAGGTACTTTGAGCTATTTATGACCTGATGTGAGTGTTAGTGTGAATGTTTGTATGTTTTCATGTTGAGCCTCAACAAAAGGTCATTTTCTATCACAATGTGACAGACAATAACGTTTTTTGAATCTTTGAATCTTTGAATCAGTAAAGTGAGGATTATAAGAGGAAACAGACGTGCTTCAGGTTTCAGCCTCTGTACCAATGAAATAAAAGAACTCTTTTGTACCATACGATAAACGTGGGAACGATCCATTGACCAATGACAAACATCTTCCACTAGTCTACAGCTCGTCTTTTGGTTTTGTAATCATCCTCTTCTTCTTCTCCTCTTTGTGGAACACTTCCCGTCCGCCTGCTTCCTCCAGCTCAGTTTGACGTCTTCTTCTTTCAGCCCTGATCCTTCAGCTTCTGTTTGAGCTGCACATACAGAAACAGGAAACAGAGAAACTGAGGATACAATTACAAAATAAAACAGGAAATCAAAACAAGCAACAACAACAGGAAATAAACTAAGTAAACTAAGAGTCAATCATGACAGTGTGCGATTGAGACAGTGTGCAGGAGTTTTGATACTGAATGTTGCCTTGGACTTCTATATTTGTTGCCATGGTAACAAAGAGGCATCGGTAAAGTAAAATCATTACTAGTTTCATGTGGAAGTTTCAAATTGTGGTATGGTGAAATTGACTGGGAGTGAAAGCTGCTCTGGTGTTTCCTCTGCTACACAGCTGTTATATTATTCAGTATAACATCTGTATCATGATGGACGGGCGTGACCTGCTTCAACATGGCGTCCATCACTGCAGCGTCATTCAGATCAGAGAGAGCTTCTCTTCACCAGCCTCACTTTGACCACTCGTTGTGAAACTGCAGCGTCTTTGAGAAGCAGACAGACGGGATCATTCATGATGAACTAAAGACAAACACTTACACTCTCTTCACATCTACTCTGTGACAGTTGTTTGTGTTTCAAAGATTTCCTCAGTTCACGGCTACAGAGTTCTCACGGCGTTTTCGTACTGCGATTCACCACGATATTCACGCCCCTGTGTGTGGTGTGTGTGTATGTGTGTGTGTGTGTGTGTGTGTGTCTCTGTGTGTGTGTGTGTGTGTGTGTGTGTGTGTGTGTCTCTGTGTGTGTGTGTGTGTGTTGTGTGTGTGTGTGTGTGTGTGTGTTTGTGTGTGTGTGTGTGTGTGGTGTGTGTGTGTGTGTGTGGTGTGTGTGTGTGTGTGTGTGTGTGTCTCTGTGTGTGTGTGTGTGTTTGTGTGTGTGTGTGTGTGTGTGTGTGCGTGTGTTTGTGTGTGTGTGTGTGTATGTGTTTCTGTGTGTGTGTGTTGTGTGTGTGTGTGTGTTGTGTGTGTGTGTGTGGTGTGTGTGTATGTGTCTCTGTGTGTGTGTGTGTGTGTGTGTGTGTGTGTGTGTGTGTGTGTGTGTGTGTGTATGTGTCTCTGTGTGTGTGTGTGTGTGTGTGTGTGTGTGTGTGTGTGTGTGTATGTGTCTGTGTGTGTGTGTGTGTGTGTGTGGTGTGTGTGTGTGTGTGTGTGTGTGTGTGTGTGTGTGTGTGTGGGTGTGTGTGTGTGTGTGTGTGTGTGTGTGTGTGTGTGTGTGGTGTGTCATGTCGGTGTCCCACTCCCCTCTCTTCTGGACCTCTACAGTACCCCACCCCCCCCTCACACAGCCTCTTCAGCCTCCTGCCATCGGGGAGACGGTAGCGCAGCCTGCGGGCCGGCTCCACCAGACTGGGAAACAGCTTCTTCCACCAAGCTGTCAGGAAGCTTAACTCTCTCCCCTCTCTTCCTTCCCTCCCCTCTGCCCCCACGAACACTGGATCTTGAACCCCCTCCCGTTTACCACCAAGAACTCTGGACTAAAAACTCTACACTCAGTTTACTGCACATACTGCACAAGTTCACTTTTTCTTTAAATTTTATTGTATTTTATTTACTACCTTTTGCACAATTTAGAATTTATTACTGTAAATATTATTTATCTTATTTTACCTTATTTTATTTTATCTTATTTTGGTTGTATTGCACGGAGACAAACGAAATTTCGATTCCACTGTATGTCTGGCATATTTTGAAATTGACAATAAAGTTGACTTTGACTTTGACTTTGACTTCAGAAGAAGCTGTCATTGGTGCAGGATCGAATATGTTGATTACAAATTAAATATTTTATTCAATAAATACTCGTTCAAATAAATTATTTGTGAGGAGTGGTTGGCCGGCGACATAGCGCCCTCTATTGACCAGCCACCAATGACTAAATCCACAATGTAACGTTAGGGAATGATAGCTCACCTCTGTAGCAGATGGATGCTCTCTTGTAGTGACAGGGCCAGTCCTCCCATCTGCCAGAGTCTTCAAAATAAGCAGCCACACATGTCTCTTTTTCATAGTTGTTATTGGGTTCAGGCGGATTCTTTTTCCAGAACCTAAACGAAGAATTACGTCCATCCGTCCACTTCCAGGTCTCTCTGGAGAGGCCGATCCAAACCGTAAGTCCTGAGATCAGCTCCTTTATCTTCTGGTTCTCGTCCAGGTTCCTCACACTGGCCAGGTCAGTGTGATGTTCTCTGCAGTAGCTCTGGGCCTCAGTCCATGACATGTTGGTGTTGATGAGGACAAAGGTCACATTCGACCCTGAAGAGAGACCACAGTGTTGTACCAAACTGAATCCAGGAAGTATCTGTGCCTCTTTGACAGTTCAAAACTCTGTGTGTATTAAATGTTCATAACCTTTAAATAATACATTCTTTATCATTTGATTCTGTGTATTCTTATCACATTAAACCGGGAACGACGGCACATCCTCCTCTTCTCTCGTCTCTGTTGACCGAGTCTGTGTTGGTGATAAAGTTTGGTGAACTTTGACCTGCATGTCTCAACAGTTTCTATGTAAAGCAGCTTAATGATCAACATCTTCTGCTTTGAATAAAGTTCCTGTGCAAACAACAGAGAGATGGAGGAGAACAAGAGTTCACTGTCATGTTTCATATTCTCACCTGTGACATCACTGCAGACTGGCTTGTAAAGTCTCTCACATGGTACATCGTTCCAGAGTCCATTACTGTACATCTGTCCACAGTGCTCTACACTGTGCACATTGTTGGGTTCTCGAGATGACCAGTGTCTGAACGTGCTCTCTCCAGGTTTGTAGAAACTTCTGTCTGACAGTGACCACCTCCAGCTCTCCACGTCGTCGTACAAACCTATCCACACCCGCTGAGAGAAGTGGAAGAAATGTTCAGACCTTTTTCTTTTTGCAGACTTTAGAACCAGCCTGTATGGATAGAATTTGGGGTCCCTTTTAACTACGATGGACATCATTTATTTGACATTTAGATTTGATACTTTGGCTCATGTCCCCTCTGTTAACATGGAGGAGGAGGTGCTTGTCACCTTTACTGCAGCATGTCACTAGAGGGAGCTCCAATCTTTTGGCTTTACTTTAGGGAAGCTGTCACATTGAGAGTTTGGACTGAACCTGGGTTGCTAAGGCTCTTCTTTCTCTACTGACATCAACTCCCCTTCATCACCTCCTCCACACAAAGCTAAAAAAAATAAGGAAAATGTCCAGATTGAGTGTTTTTTATGCCTAGTTAGGGTCCGTGTCCATTAAGGACCCTCTTTAAGGCTGGCAGCGCCCACAAGACGCTCACCGATGCTGTGTTATGAAAGTTAACTTCTGCTTCCCTCCATCGTTGCTTTACATAGTTCTGTGTGAAAGGGGCCAGAGTGTTTACATTGAGGGTCTCTCTTGAGAAGTTTGTCCTTAAAACCCACCTACACAGTTTAAGGTTTCTCATCGGGGATTTGTTCTTAGCTAAGAATCTACAAACACACTCATACGCACATCTGAGTGCTGAAGTGTCAGATTCTGTGTTTCTTAATCGTGCGCGATCGTTTGAAGACTTTTATTTGGACGTACCCGACGTCTCTGGACTCCCCGTACCGTCCTGTGGGACTTCTGTGGGAGTGGCACGCACACAAACCCCTGCAGTCTCACGCCCTTATACGGGAACAATATGTGTTTTTTCATGTAAATTAGGAAAAACATGCTCAAGCCTCCAGTTTGAGTTCATGTCATTCATCAGTTGGAGAACACAGTTTGTTCAAGGACCCGTCATGAATCCCACATCGTACACATGTATCATTTGAGACAAATCTGAAGAAGATATTTGTGAATGACGCCCAATAAGAGTAGAGCGAGTTCTTGAATGGGTCTAAAAATAAAAAAGGAACCAAAGTGCCTGACTGACCTCTTTCCATAAAGTTGCTTTGAAATGAAGAGAGCATGAAGAGTTGACTCACATGGCTGTATTCTGAGTAAACCATTCTGTTTGAATCTGCCTCTGTGTTCAGCAGCTCCACGTCCTCCATGTTGTCGATGGAGGCCAGGTCGGTGTATTTGTCTCTGCAGTAGCTCAGAGCTTCAGTCATGTTCTTTGCCTCATACACAAAATGATACTGACGTCCAGCATGTGTATAAAGGGCACACAGTCCTGCAGGGATGGAAAGACATAGAGATGATCAATCAGAATCAAATTTATTGTCCAGGTATGTTTACACACACACACACACAAGGAATTTAACTTCAGTGAACTGTGCTCTCTTATGAACAGGTACAACATTAAATATCAACAATAAACAGAATAAGAAAAGACTAATATTTACATAAATATGAAACAGTGGAGTGGTGAATAGTGCAAAAGATGCTGAAGTATAACATGAAGAGTAAAATGCAGTTATGTGACAGATGGGTCAATTAAGATGTCAATTACAGGGGCGTGTTGGTGGCACAATGGTCAGGGCGCACGCCCCATGCATGGAGGCTGTCATCTCAAGCGGGCGGCCCGGGCTCGCATCCCGCCTGTGGCCTCCCTCCTGCATGTCGTTCCCCACTCTCTCTCTCTCTCTCTCTCTCTCTCTCTCTCTCTCTCTCTCTCTCTCTCCCTGGTTTCTGATTCTATCCACTGTCCTGTCTCTCCATTAAAGGCACAAAAAGCCCAAAAATAAATCTTTAAAAAAAAAAGAGATGTCAATTACAGTATTTACATAAATAAGTGTGCGTTTATTGATCATTTAAATAAAATAATGTATATATACATATATGTATGTTCACAGTGACGGTTGGTTTAGAGTCATTTCACCACGACAGGTCTGACACTCTGTGACTGTTTAGCGTTCATCAGAGTGACAGCCTGGGGGAAGAAACTGTTCTTATGACGGGTTGTTTTTGCGTACAGTGATCTGTAACACAATATAACACGAGTATGATAATAGAATAAGAGGACGTCGTCAAGCACTCGTCTTTTATTATCTCATAATGCTGTCACCAGCGTTAACGACAGAAACATTGTATGAATGAATGAATCATTTTTTAAAGATGAAGTTGGTCTTGCCTGATACAGCGATGATGCTTAGAAGAACTTGATCCATCCTCTCGTGTTGTCCTCTCCGTCCGTCTGACTGTTCAGACCAAGTGACTAAACATTCACTTCTTTTACGACTCTTCTGCAAACACACAGGGCCGTTATGATCAATTCATTTGCATATGATTTCATGCTGTTGGTGTTGACTGCCCTGAATGTTCCTTTTATATTTCAAATTCTATTTTGTCAAATAGAAAAAAATATATAGAATTTCTTTTTTTTTTTTTTTACAAATGTTTAGACAAAAGAATCCACCTTTCATGACAGCCCCATAAAATACCATTTTATCTCTGTCATTTAAAGGCTTTATATGTGATTTCTTGATCCAGCAGATGTCGCCCTTGAGCACCAGCATGAAACCAAAACAACTCGCGCTGCATTGTTGTGTTAGCATGCTAATGCTAGCGATCTTTATTATGCTGGTATCTTCACACTGCATGTAAATTTACCTGAAATGAGCGTGATCTAGAAACACAGTTAAGCAGTGAGTACAGTATGTTATTCTTCTTTTCTCTAGTCCCTCAATTAAACAACTTTTATACACGAGGGGAGGAGTCAGCCGGCCGTCCCGGCGATGTAAACAAAGTGAAGATAGGACTCTGAAAACTCTGAAAACATCACAGACAGTGGGACTCGGGTGTTACACCCATTGTAGACAGTCATGACTCACAGACTTATTTTCAGAGGAGATACTTGATTTATACATTTAAGTGTGAAAAATCACAGAGGAAGCCAAAGACCAGGAAATGATTTTTTTTGTACTTTTTTAACCAAAAGTCAGTTTCTATGAGTAACACTGAAATATTTGAGCTTTGGCTCTTTTACATCAGCAGAATATGACCCAGTTTTTTTCATATTTGAGCATATTTCTATTTTGTGATGATGAACAAACAATTTCTGTTTTTTCTGTTCCAATGTCTGTTTGTGTTTTTGTGTCACGGTGTACTAGCGGATAGTTTTGTTAGTGTTTCGTCCCGCAGTGTCAGAATCCTGTTGTTTTTGTTCCATTTATATTTATTTATATTTTGTGTTGTATCCCGCGAAAGAATAAGTAAGTAACAAGCGGCAGAAATGAGTTTCCTCTGGAGGGTGTCTGGTACGGTGGCCGGTAGGTGTCAAACGCTCAGCAACTGATGAAACGACATACATTTAGAAAAAACGTGCAGCATATATAAAAACGCTGCACATTCAAAATGCAAACTACCACAACAAATGCAAAGACTGAAACGCACTGCAAAGACACAAACCAGCTGCAAATAGGCAAAACAACTGCATAAGCATCAAACGCGCTGCAAGTACAGAAACAAAACTTAAGTCAAAACACACACAACCAGAAAACAACTGCAAACACAGAAACGCTGCAAGTTAATCCTTAAACGGATGTGCTCCAGGCCTGTAGGGGGCGCTGTGTTCATTTCGGTTTATTTACGAGAGAGAGTAAGAGAGACAGCTAGGATCAGAAAGTTTTGTTTAGATAGGGAAGTTGTATCGTTGAAAGACACAGGATGACTTCAATGTTACTGAAACGGGGAGATAAAGCGAGTCCGACCGGGATTTTGACATCGGGGACGATATCAACCACAGCTTCTCCGTCTTGTCGTTGTCCCAGTTTTTCCTGAATGCAGAAGTATCGACCAAAATCCTCCTTTGTGGCGTTCGTCATCACCAGAGAACAGTTTGCTATGATTCTTAGTCTGTCTGGTTTGTCTGTACGTTTAATAATCCGCTCATCCTTCAGTCAGCCAACTGACTGAAGCTCCATGTCGTACCGTCACAGTTATCATGATCGCTGAGGACATTTACTTACTTACACTTAAAACCACATGTCAGAGGAGTCACCAACAAGTCAACGTTGTGACATGAGCTGGGAATAGATTTCTATGCAAGACCTGAGAGGCCAGTGGTTTGCGCTTCCTTTTAAATAAACCTTAAAATCTACAAAACCAGTAAAATTATGTTTTAACAGGCGTCAAAAAGAATCACCTAAAAAATACGAGAAACACTTCAAGATCATTATTTATTTGCTTTAAAGATCACATATCCTCCTCCTCCTCTTCAGTGTAAATAAGTCTCAGAGCTCCTCAAAACATGTATGTGAAGTTTCTTGTTCTAAATCCACTCTGATCCTGTATTTGATCATGTCTATAAACCCCTCTATTTCAGCCCTGCTCAGAACAGGCTGTTTCTGTGTCTGTACCTTTAAATATGTAAATGAGCTGTGTCTGACCACGCCCCCTCTCTGGAAGGGCTTGAGTGTACTCGGTGCTTTCTCGCTCCATGTCCTATTGTTTATGGTGAGAAGGCAGACTCAGAGGGCAGAACAAACACCTAGCTGTGGGAGTGTCACCCACCTGGGGGAGGGGCTACTGCCCTTTGTGATGTCATGAAGGGAACATCTCCAAACGGCCTGTTTGAGCACACATTTTCTGTTGTGCGTGGGTCTGTGGGTGTTGAATCGGTCCTATAATTGTCTAGTGTGTATCCAACCTAAAGATAAGATATTAATAATCACCCATTGGGGTTAATGTGTTCGTAAAGCAGGTCATCATTTCTTTCTGTTGTAGCTGTATGAAGAAGTCAGAGGGCGTTTTAATGGCGGGATACTTCCGTCTGTTACACTTTGCTTGAAATGAGTCCAGTGTTGAAGACCTCGTTCAAAAGGTGGCTTTAAATTTCCCACAGAAGTAAATGAAACATAAATCCATTGTGGTTTTCTCAGTTTTCAGTTTAGTGTGACTCTTTTTTTAACTTCAGTGTCGATAACGGATGTCACAAACCACTTCCTCTCATCCTCTCCAGCCACCTCTTTTATTTCACACATCTATTTGATGTTCATATGTGTGTAGAAACTCTGCAAGAACTCTGAGAAAGTATCCACAAAATGCACAAAACACAATGAGAGAGTAATGAAGATTAAATTAAAGACACATGTAAGAGCTGCAGGGGGAGGAGTCACATTCATTGGTCTATCAAGATTAGTGACATGAGCTGTAACTATCCTGTTGTCTCTCTCTTGTTTGGTTTGTTGACGGTGGCGTACAGGCTGCTGGGGTGAACAGAGGCTTCAGTGTCAGAGGAGGGGACTTTCACAGTGCTGTACGTCACACCTTCACCTTCTTTATCTCCATCAGCCTTCAAAACACAGAAAGTCCACCAAAGGGATCATTTTTTTATCTTGTTGATCATCTTGTCTGACAGGAGAATTATTTCTGTGGAAACTAGTTAACTTGCATCCTGTTATCTCGTGTTGCAAATGAACACAAGATAACATCTGGCATCAAACTTTCCCAGCAGTCTTAGCTGCACTTTGTGTTCAGAGCTAATTAGCACACTATATGTGACTTAGGACAGAGCCAATCAAAGTTTAACCAACCCCTGACCCCCCCTCTGGACACAGCCCTGACTGTATGTGAGCATGCTGCCGATGTTAAATTTGAATAGCACTTATGACGCACTTATCAGTATGTCAACACTTTTATTTTGAGTGTGCTTTAATAGCATGCTACAGGATGTTGCGTAAAGTCTAGTTATGGTGTAACCAATCAGTGAGCTTACCTGAGCTCTACTGTTGCCCTTCTTGGTGTAGCTGATGGAGGCGTAGGCAACAATATCTTCATGCTCCGCCTACACAGTGAAGACAACAAAAACTCTTAATCTATGATTGGTTATTTTCCCTGTCAGAGGCGGGACTAATGTTAAAAATATGTTTAAATGTCTGTTAAACATTTGATCATTAAGGTTATAACTCACAATGTTTTTGTCCGTCTGTGTTTTGTTGCCTGAAAAGTCAAAAGAGAGAAGACAGTGAATTGCAGGTTGATGAAAGTGACTGCATGTATAACAGTTGTATCTGTAAACGCTCTCACCTTTAGTTCTCTTCCGTCTGATGAATGCCACAACAACTATTAAGATGATTAAGAAGGCTGCTAAACCAGCAGCTACAATCACATATGGCAACCAATCTGAAAGGAGGATAAAAACATCGAAGTATTTTTGAAGTGTAGCTTACATGTGAAAAGTTACATATTTATAGAAGTCTCTGTAACAAGCAGTGGTTTGATAGTTTCTATCATAGACTGTAAATATTAATGGATGAAGCCTGAGTGACATCACCCATCTGTTCCTGCAGGGGGCTCTAGAGGCTCATCGGCAGCAGCCGCCATGTTGGAAATGCTGTCTCAGTCTAACTTTCAGTCAACCTAACGACAGGCTGAGAGCTGGAGCTGAGGCGGGTTTTAAACCTCTTGATGAACACAACACCACGCCCACCTGTCAATCACGTCAGCTACGCCCCTAACTATGGATAACGCATATCTTTCATAAAATCAAACAGAGTCGTCTTAAAAAGATACACCCCTCGTACAGTGTGTGCCAGTGATAACAATAACTAATCAGACATATTTTAGTTTTTTTTGTCTGTAAACATGTTGATTTCTGCTGTAAAAACTGCTGTTTTTGCCTGTTGTGTGTATGTGACTTCAGGTGTTCCTGCAGCCAGCCTCAAGTGGACTCTTGCAGGATTTTGCACTTCCGCATTGACTGGAGGTTGCTGCTTGGTTTCTATAGACTCAAATATATTCCACTCATACTGTATGTGGATTAAAGACGATTATCTAGATGTTTCACATGTTAGACTTCACAATGAGAAAGAAAGTCTTAAAGAAATCTTATTTTTTTACTTGGTTTGTCGCCCTCTTTCATTTCATCTCCTCCTGCTGATGTGCTTCCTGTTGTGTCTTTTGAATGTGATATAAATAAACAAAACAGAAGACATGATGATAAAACAGAGTTCAGCACTTTAACTAAATAATGAATCAAGTAAAACCAGACGTACCTGTTTTCTCACAGGAGGACTTAGAGAAGGCATTACACAGCAGTGTTTGTCCACTCTTATTGTCTGTTACTTTACAATACAGCAACTCATTAAAGTTTGACTTCTGAACAACATGAGGAGTTTTAAATGACACAATAGCTGTACAGTCGACCTGTTGGTGTTCTGATATATCTGTCTCATCACCCTTATAATACCACTGCACTGTGTGGGCACAGACTCCAAATCTGAACACAACGCAGTAAAACCTGTAGGCATCGTCCGAGGTACCTGGTGAAGATATTGTGAGAGAGAGAACACAAGAGTAAGTTTAACTTCCACACATTTTTATAGACTTATTCCAATGTTTCAGGATAATGTTTCAACAAGAGAATCTGAGATGAAAATATTCATATCAACACTTACTGTTAATAACATTCAGCAACACACGAGCTTCTGAAACTTGTTCTCCTGATCTGATCTGTCTGCAGGTGTAACGACCGACATCGTCATGTGTGACACTTTTAATAACCAGAGAACAATCCTCTGAAACATTTAGCCTCTTAGCTTTAGCTTTAGCTTTCTCATTTTTACTTATATTCCCGAGTGTAACCAGCTCTACTTCTGTGCTCCCACTATAACGACTGAAAAGCCAAGAAGTACTGTCACATTTCTGCTGATCTTTAATCACATTTCTACATGGCAAAGTGACATCATGTCCAAGTCTGACTGTGAGGGAGGCGGTATCATCTCCAGTTACAGCTGAAGAAAATTAAAGAGAAATATAAAATCAATAAATAGTCATTTGTATTTGTTAATTGTTAATAGTTTTGTAAGAAGAAGCAAAAAGAGAGAGTAAACTTAGGTATCTGACTGAAATCGATGTCATCCATTTAAATAGTTAAAAACATCTGCAGTGCATCTTATTGGTGGATGTGTTTTTTTAGTAAATTCTTACCTGTAAACAGAAGCATCAGTATCACAGATAAAGACATTTTAATCCTTCTGAAGTGACGGATCTCACTTCGTGCTCTCTCTCGTTCACACACCCTTTACTCTCAAACACTCTAAATAGAGAGTTACAGCTTCAACTTCTCTTTTTTTACTTCCTCTGAGCAACTTCAATCTTTTTTTCCCCTCATCTTGTTATTCTCTCTTGAACTCTGGAAAACAGGGCAGCTGTGACTCGGCCTGATCGTACGTCAAATATCAACAAGAAAACCCTTAAAGGACAAAATGTAAGAGTCTTCACAGTGTAATAAACATGAAAATCATTGCCCAACACGGATGTGATGCCTCCGGCTCATGGCGCTGTATGCTGACCAATGGGAGGGGTGATATCTTTAGCGGTTTGAGAAACGTTTGTTCCTCATTGCGACTCGTTTTTTTTTCTTTGTGAGAACTCATGAGAAAAGGTTTCAGAGTTGGTACAGTGTTGGTACATGAGCTATGTAACATTTAAAGGGCTGCATCCTTCTGAGGGCGCATTTGAAGACTGATAACATCACAGCGGGGCATCGAGGGCTGTTCCATTTGGAAGGCTCCTTCAAATCTATCAATCATTATTTGTATAGTGCCAAATCATATCAAGTTTTATCTTGAGGCGCTTTACAAAAAGCAGTTAAAATATTCTTCATTGTTAAGAAAAATGGGATGGGGGAGAGGGGATGAGATGCAGGAATGATTTCTTTGTGTTCCTCTCGTTCCTGTTGTTCTCACTTCCTCTCCGCTGAGGTGGAGGTCGGAGCAGGCCGTGCATGAATGAGGACGGCGGAGGTTGTGGGGATGAAACAATCCGATGGTGGAGGCTGGGTGTTATGATAATGTGTTAGGAGGATTCACTTCAGGGTCTTTAGCGGTAGGCGTGGTTGGTAGGAGGAGAAGCAGGGTCAGTACTGATGACACACCTGAGGGGGGGTGTGGTGGCTCTGTCTCTGTAATCTTCATTAGCAGCACCTGGAGAGGAGCCGGCGGAAATTGGTTTGGAGTCAAAGAGACGCCACGAGGAAGACGCGAGGACGTAGACACCTGAGAGACTGAACCTGAAGTAACGTTTGTTTTTGTTTCAACACTTCACGGGTTCTTTTTACACATGAACTAAACTGATATGAAGGAGAGGGCTGGTGGAGGAGATCGTACCCCAAGTGACTCCGTGGATCGGGCTGTCCGAGTGAGCTGGTCGCGGCACGTACGAGGATCTTAGAGGTGAGTCACCTACACGCACCCCTCAAACAGACAGGACAGATGCACACACACTCAGGTAAGGCAGGATACACCTTCACGTTTACGCAACACGTAAGGAGAGGCATTAAGTTACGGGCTCACTGGCCTTAGCGTCAGGCGCTAGGATAGCATTTAGCGGTGGGTTTGTGTAGCGGCGTAACACTGGGCGTCAGGGACGTCGGGTGGTGGTAGTGCCAGATCACCTCGCTGAAGGTTGGAGGAGCTCCGTCTACTGGAGAGCCCGGCCTCTGGTGCCGGGACAAAACCTCCTGGGCTCAATGAACGCTGAGCCTCAGGATTGATTAATGTAATAGACTTCTCTATGGTTATCATCCAAAGTCCTCAATACACTTCACAACTTGTCAGTTTGTTCACACACTCCCGCTCCTGTGACCACATTACCTCTGGCCACCACAACCTCCACTGGCTCCCGTTTCCCCAACAAATCGAGTTCAAAGTCCTCCTGACCTTCAAACCACCTGGGACATTGTTTTCATTTTTGTGTTTCCTCAACTTGTTTTTGTCTGAATGTAAATCTGTAAAGTGTCTTTAAGTGTTTTAAAAAGCGCTACATAAATAAAATGTAGTATTATCAGCAGCATTATTATTATTATCTCTGACTCTTGTTACAATTTGTACTGCGCCTTTGACTCCTCTTCAACACAGGAGATCAGAGCTTCTTGGGCTGCAGGAAAAATGTGCTCATAACGGCATTTCAGGTCTCTATCCAGCAGGTGGTAGCAGAGAGTCTTGAGTCTTAAACCTGACCAATCCCCACCTTCGTCATGCATTGATGCTTTGAGCTGGTTAAAGCTCCTGTGAGGAGATTTTAGTTGATGAATAGAAATGAAAACAGAAACCTTTTAATAAGATAAAGAAAAAATCTAACAAGACCTTAAACATAAAGATTGAATGTCTCTGTATAAAAGTAATACACAGAAGAACAATGAAGTTCTAAATCTTTCAAACATATCAGTCGCACAGAATCAGAAGTACTTGATTAATCCCAGGAGGAGATTATCTTGTTACAGTTTCTCTTGCAGATCATTGGTAGTCTTGTTTAAAATCTGGAGTCCACCCGGTCTGAGGCCGAGACAAGAGCGGGTAAAAATGCTTTAGATTCAGAGACGATAGCGAGACCTTCAAAAAGTGGTCTGATACGAGACGGGTCTTGAGACTAAGACCGATTTCAATCACTGCAACACTACTAACATATCCACAAAAGTCTCCAAGGTGAATGAATACATGAAAATAATAATAATAATAATAATAATAATAATCTTTATTTATAGAGCACAAAAACAAGTTACAAAGTGCTTTACAAGGACAGCAAATATAAAAACAGGCAGGTCATAGAATAATAAACAAGGAAAGATTAAGGAATAAAAATCACTTTAAAATATAAAATCTCTTTTAAAAGAACTGAATACAATTCTTTTAAAGGAATTCTAAAAAGTGAAAATAGTAACAATTTAAAATCAACAAACATCAGGAAAGGCTCGCCGGAAAAAGTGTGTCTTAAGAAGAAAGGACTTAAAAGAGATGAGTGATTCTGCCGACCTGATCTCCTCGGGCAGGTCGATACTCTATCCCCTTTTGTTTTTAATTTTGCATTTGGAACCACCAGGAGACCTCAGCCCGAGGATCTCAATGTGCTGCGTGGGTTTGTAAGGAAGTAAAAGGTCTGATAAACAGCTGGGGGAATGGAGAGCTTTAAAAGTAATCAGTAAAATCTTAAAATCAATTCTAAAACACACAGGGAGCCAGTGTAGAGATGCTAAAACAGGAGTGATGTGCTCATGCTTTCTGGTTCTAGTTAAAAGTCTGGCAGCTGAGTTCTGTACCAACTGCAGTCCATGGATATTTTTTTTTGTTCAGGTAAGTAAAAAGGCTTTTACAAAAGTCAAGACGTGATGAGATAAAAGCATGTAAAATCGTCTCTGTGTCTTTAACAGTTAAAATCTAAAACATTTTAGAAATATTTCTGAGCTGATAAAAACAGTGGAGCTGGGATCAACGGAGGCTTCAGCATCAGGGGAGGAAACTCTCACAGTGCTGTACGTCACACTTCACCTTCATCGTCATCATCAGCCTTATGGATACGAGAATCAGCAGGAAACATATCAGAACAGGACATGACTCAGCATATTTCAACACATTGAAATTAAGATGCAAGCAACAAACAAAGCAGGATCCTGAGGCCAAACAAAACACAAAAAGCACTTTACAATAACAAACTCATAACGTGGTTTAAAACATGCATGAACCCTAAATATAGAGTTTCTTTATAAATGATCAGTAATGGATCCAAATGACCCAACAGTTATTTATCTTGTACACACATTAACACATCCTGAGGGAACAAGTTAAGATACTAGTCTTTTGGGAACGACTATCTTGTGGGCATAAATCAATCATTTTGTAGATACAAGGTTTTATCTTTGGCACACATGATATTCATCTTTCAGTCACAGGTTTCTTTTTTATTAAGATTTATTTTTTGAGCTTTTAGCCTTCATCTGATAGGACAGTGGATAGAGTAGGAACTTGTGGAGAGAGAGTGGAGAAGACATGCAGGAAAGGAGCCGCAGGTCAGACTTGAACCTGGACTAAAACCTACGTACATGGGGCACGACCTAACCGCTAGGCCACCATCTCCCCATAAGTTGTTTTTTTGTCAGACAAGATATTCATATTTTGGGAACTAGTTATTAATCTTGTGAAAATTTAAAACCTTGTGTGCACAATATCATTATGTTGTGGGAACAGGATGAATATATTTTGAGAACAAGTTATTATCCCTCCCCTGTGACCTTTCACCCCCAAGCTTAAAATGTCTCGACAGCTCGATATAAATGAACAGTTGTGTGTCCAATCAGAGCGCTTACCTTGACTTTGCTGTTACAATTCTTGGTGTAGCTGACGGAGGCGTAAGCGACACCTTCTTCAGGATCCTCCTACGCAGTGAACACAACACACATTAATGATGAATCAGAAAGAAGGGAGAATTTTAGCTTTGTTGTGTTATTCCACTTTTCTTTTCTCTGTTGGGGAAGTTAGACACTGCTTGTAGATTGAAAAAATGTAACTGTCTCATTATGTTACAAGTATGATTAAAAAAAAAAAGTGGGTGTAAAGGCCTTTGTGCAGAGGCCATTTTTTTCAGCTCCATTAAAAAAACTTTACGCACAGACACCTTGCACACTGAGTCCGCTGTGTTTATTTTCCATTAATTTGCATATCAGACAGAATGTCTCATGCTCATCATGCAGAGGGATCAACCTGATAAGTTCATTTATTGACTCTTTCACTAAATGTATAAAAAGGAGAGTTTTGACCTGTTGAAAAGGAGCTCCAGGTGTATTTCAGGATTACAGTGGTCCAGATTGATATGCTGCTCTCTAGAACCTCACATTAAAGAGGACATATGATCCCCCTCCTCCACCTTTTCAAACAGCCCCCCTGTGGTCTAAATGAAACATCTGTGCTGTGCTTTGGTCAAAATATAACATGAATCAAGCACCAGAGGAGGTTTGTGACCCTGTATAAACCGGCTCTCTCAGAACGCTCCGTTTTGGTGTGTGTGTCTCTTTAAATGTAATGACCCCCCCCCCCCTAGACATCACTCCTCTGTAGAGAGAATAAGAATGGAGGACCTGCTCAAAGTTTTGTTCTAGGCTGGAGGTGGAGTCCATGGAGATACCAGGGGAGGGAGGGCTGTAAGGTTTAGTTTTTACATTGTAGTAATATGTGTATAACTGTTTCAGGAGCGCCACACTCACACAGCCCACTGGGATGTTTTCCTATAGAGTGTAAATATTGGTTTAACCCACAGTGACCCAGCCTCAGTCGAGTTATTTTAACTTTCCAGAATAACTGACAGACTTCCTAATTAAAGGTTGTGGATTAAAAAAATGTCTGCCTCTTTTTTTCCCTTCTCCTAAAGTTTCTTTCCACTCCCACTCAAGACCTTCTTTGATTCTACTTCTGTATTCAGTTTTTCCAAATGGTACCTTTACATCTATATTAATTAGATTTAAAGCTGATTTTGTAATTGAATACTTCTTCCTCTTCTTCTTCTTCTTCTTCTTCTTCTTCGGCAGCTGACATCAGAAAAGTGTCATTACTGCCATCTGCTGGATTTAAATATCCCTCACAGACCTGTTCTCAAAAGAGATTTAAACAAGCATCTTCGGCCTCTCCCTCTTTCACCACCCTCCAAAATACTTTTCTCTTCTTACAAGTCCCTCTCTCTCTCCATTTCTGACTTCCTGTTCTGTCTATGTGTTACATACTTCCTACATTTAGTAAGTACATGTTCACCTGCTTCTGCTTGATTGCATACCTCACAAAGAGCAGATGAATGTTTTCCAGTGATATGCAGAGTACTTAACCTGGTCATTACTCCTCTCTTCTGTAGCTCCTCCCCCTCTATTTGACTTCATCTATTTCCTGCTGAACTTCCTGAATACAGAAGCTCAGCGGGTACAAACAGTAGCAGGATTTTTATTTTTTTTTTGCTTGAACGTTTGCAATGAAGACCAGAAGAAAACATTTAGTTCATGTGAGTTTATTCAGGATGTCAAACTTCAGTTTGTTCACACATCAAATCAGTAAAGTGTGTTCAATCATTTCATGAACACATTCACTTCATCCACACAATCACTTTGTTTGATCAGAATCTCCACTCACAGAAAACAATGATTTATCTCCTTATTGATTTAATCAGGAGGATTACATTTTTAAAACACCTCAGAGGACATTTTTACATCACTTTGAATATGAACAACAACATTTATTCTGACTAACTCATTTCTTTAAGTGTGATTTTATAGATTTTCTACAAATGTACAAAGTGGTGAGAAGAGAAAATCAGCATGAAAGAAAAGTTTGCTGCTCTCTCTCTCTCTCTTCAGACTCCTGAATCAGAACAGAAACAACAGAAAATATAAATGTATGAAAACAAATAATCAAACATGGAGAGCAGAGAGAAGTTGATATTTATCACTCAGAGAAATGTCAGTTCAGGTGAACAAAAGTCATCCTGAGCAGTGAAAGAGTCCACGGCTAAACAGACACAGGAAGGAGTGTCACTTAAAGACACTCAAACATTTACAGAACAGACGAGAAGAGGTCAAAGTACCGCCATAAAGTTTGATTGACAGGTGACCACGATCAGATCTCAGCAACGAGCGTGGATAAAAATCAAGTTGAAGATTTAAAACACAGCAAGTTAAACATCTGTCTCATTAATGACTTCTGTCTATTTCAGTTTACACAACTCAGCAGAGTCTCCAAAATAAAACCGAGTCCAGCATGTAGAGGCTGAGTGAATGTGGTCTGGACTCTGTGGAGGAGAGTCATGGTTTCAGAGATGCTGTAGAAGGACAGAATACCTGCTCTGTGATCCAGGTACACTCCTACTCTGGAGGACCAGGACCTGAGACAGGAGTGTGACATTGTTGTAATAAAAGTTATAACTGTTGAAACAATCTAACGCCCAAGATTTGTCATTACGTCCAAATCTACACTCATTCGAACTCCTGCTCTGCTGATATTCTTGTATGTGACTGCTACAGAAACTCCTCTTCCTCTGCTTCACTTCCCAGTAACAACGTCCAGTCAGACTCTCTTTACTCAGGACCTGAAAACCATTCAGTGAATCTGTCTGGGTGACTAGAATAAGGATTGGTCTGACTCGTTAATGTTACTTTTCTGTTCCCATCAGATAATAACAGCTCTGTGTTTACTGTGTTTGGATCCAGTGTGATGTCACATGAATATTTTAAGAACTCAGCTCTGGTCTTGGGCTCTGGTTCTGACAGTAAAACATCCACTTCAGTCACTGTCTGTGAGATGTTTGTCCATTTCTCTCTCAGGACGTCCTGTAGTTTATCTCTGACTTCTGACACAGCCGCTGTCACGTCCTCAAAGTACCTCAGAGGACGGATCTTGATGCTGGATGAGTGTGTAGATTCACTGAGTGGTGACAGTGAGGGGTAGTCGTGTAGAAACTGGTTGTGGTCCTGTGTGTGTGACAGCTTCTTCATCTCAGCGTCTCTCCTCTTCAGCTCAGTGATCTCCTGCTCCAGCTTCTCCTGAAGCTCTCTGACTCGACTCACTTCAGTTTGCTGCTGGGATCTGACCTGCTGCTTCACATCAGAGCGTCTTTTCTCCATGAGACGGATCAGCTCAGTGAACATCTTCTCACTGTTCCCCACTGTTTTATCAGCGGAGCCATTGATAGCCTCCACCTCCTGTTGGAGCAGCTTCACATCTTTCTCTCTGTCCTGGATTCTCTGCTGGATGTTTTGTCGACTCACCTCCAGCTCTCTCTGCTTCTCGCTCCTTTCTGCTGCAGCTGAGACTGTGTCATGACCTTTGTGTTCGTCCATTAAACAGAGATAACAGATAGACTGCTGATCAGTGCGACAAAATACTTTCATCACCTCATCATGACGAGAGCAGACGTTCTCCTGGAGCTTCTTGGAGGGCTCCACCAGATTGTGTTTTGTATAGGCAGGTGAATCATAATGAGGCTGGAGGTGTTTCTCACAAAGAGCAAACAGACAGCAGACAGGACTTACAGGCTTTCAGTTTTCTCTCCGGTGCAGACATCACAGGCCACATCTTCAGATCCAGCATAGCAGTGATCAGCAGGAGCAGCTTGGAGTCCAGTCTTCTTCAGCTCCTCCACTAAATCTGCCAACATGGTGTTTTTCCTCAGGTCAGGCCTCACTGTGAAGGTCTGTCTACACTGAGGGCAGCTGTAGACTGTCTTCTCATCCTCTGTATCCCAGTGGCTTTTAATACACTTCATGCAGTAACTGTGTCCACAGGAAAGAGTCACCGGATCCTTCAGGAGATCCAGACAGATCGAACAAGAGAAGGTTTCCCGGTCCAGCTGAACTCCTTTCTGCGCCATTTCTCCTCTCGGTAACAACGACTGTCTGAGATTCACTTCCTCATAACTGATAACAAGTTTCACCTCTGATCTACAAAGCATGTGTCCTGT